GAGTGGAGTGGAGGGAGTGAGGGAGTGAGTGAGTGAGTGAGTGAGTGAGCGAGCGAGCGAGCGAGCGAGCGAGCGAGCGTGAGACACACACGCGCGCGCGCGCGCGCCTGACCCAACAAATTGGTGATACCTCCAGCCAGAAGGATGAAAGCGTCAGACGCCGCCACCCCCACCCCCACCCCCACCACCACCACCACCACCACGACCACTACAACAGTCACCCCCGCCAGAGATCCGAGCCCACCAACAGTCGCTGGGACAGCTCAGGAGACCTGTTGGTGTCACATTCCTCGTGACTTTCACAAGTGTTCGGCATGCAAGGCAAAAACCAGACAAAAGTGGCAGGCAGTGGCTGGCACGAAGTGGTGATCTGCACGATTCTCGTTGTTGTTAGCTTTTTGGTTGTTTTTGGCTTTTTGGGAAGGTTGCGGGTACGGCGCACCGGAGCAGAACCCACCACGAGGCAACGGCTGTCAATGTCATGATCGGTGTGACAGCCAATGGTTGCAAAAAAAACGCACCAGAGCAAGGAGCCACCAGAGATACCGAAAGCTGGGGACCGTACCATGCGCAGGCAAAAGGACAATGCAAAAACAATAACCACAAAAAAACCGGAATGACAATACTTACAACAAGTAGCTGTAGCCATACCTACATCAACTTTCAGCGGGGAGAACGAGCCACACAAAGACGACGGGATTGACAAGTGGCGGCACCACCCAACATTTAGCAAAGAACCCAAACAAAATCACAAGCACCATGCCACAGGGGGCGGAGGGGATACCATGGGGTGCGGGGAAAGAGGGAGACTCAGGCCCAGCATGCTTTGTGTGGAGCCGAATCACTACTCATGAATTCTGAGCCCAGTGCGTGTTTGCTGTAGCTCCAATAACAGCTTGCCATTCATTGACCTCACATACCTGACACTTGAGTCGAAATCGGGGATGGACCACCAACACCGTGGCGATGCGACGCTACAGCCCCAATGCTGCCAACGAACACCGTCACTGGATTGACAGTTTTGGCAGGTGCTCCCTCTCGCGCAGGAACCTGCAGGGCTAGGAAGGAAGCCTGAAAAACAAGAGGCGCAGAACGCATCCGTTGCCTTCGTGACCTCAGGCCGCGGGGTCTCAGGCGAGTCGCTCCGCGGCGTCCGGTCCTTGCAACGAAAACTCTGACGGCGGCGGCGAGCTGCGGAATTCTCAGCAGAGCCGCCGAAGCCCAGCTCTGCCTCGGGCTCGAGTCTGTCTCGTCCTGCAGCAAAAAGATTACATAGCTGCGAAGGCCTCATTAACTTTGCTGCTTTGCACTTTCTTTTCCTCATGAAAAAGGCCTCGGCCTGCTGGTCCAGCGTTCTCTCTGGGCTTGCATCGCTCGTACCGCGCCTGCGAAGGCCTAAGGGAAGAGCACTGTTCCCCTTTCTTGCAATCGAACTTTGCAGCGATTGAGGAGTCCGCTTTCGCTCGTGAGGGTGCATGCTGCATCCCGACCACGCGAGCCCTGCGAAGACTCGCCTGCAACGCGCGACGGGCAAGGGCCCAGAAAATGTGAACCCCAGCTGCATTATAATACGGCCTTACGAAGCCGGAGTACCCCCCCACCAAAACGTCGTCCGCAAAAGATGACTGAGCAACAAATTCCAAGCTAGCGACATGTTAACCAAAATCTACATTCTACTGAATTCTACTGCTATAGGAAGGTGCAGTGCCAGGTGCTGGTTCCCTCGGGTCGAAATTGAAAGTCGAGGGCGGGAAGTCGAAAAGCGTTCGCGCCGAAAGCAAGCTTGGGCGACGCGGGAGTTTGTTCCTACACGCACACTGGGGTGCAATGCTGCACCCGGCCGGGCACACGGGCCCCAAAACCGGCGCCGGTGCCCAGCAACGCACTTCTGCTTCTTCCGCCCAGCGCATCCACCAGCCACATACAAGGCGCCGGCACTCTTACCAAATGGCAAAATCGACAAAATCTAAAGGCCGCTCAGATGCAGGTTTCCGGCGGATGTCAACGGCCCCTTCCGCGGACCATCATCACCTCGTCGACCTGCGCTCGGAAGCCCTCACACAAGGCCCTGCATCGTCGCCCTTGGCAAGCTGGCATCGCAAACATTCGCCTCCCGTCCACGCCCGGTCCGACGTGAGCCCCGGCCCAAAAGGTCGCTCCTGCAGCCCCTCTTAGCGGGACGTTAGATGAAGGCCCGCCTGCTGCAAGTGATCCGCCGGGACCATGCGGACGTGCGCACGCCCTGGCCCACCGAAAGCTTTTCTATTGGGGGCCCGTAAGCCGACGATCCACCGACCCGGCGATCTTCGTGGCGCTGTGGGCCCAAATTCATTGTGGCCAATCGGAGAGCGCCCAACACTTCCCGTCCAACGTGGCCGACCGGATGCGGCCGACCATCGGCCGCCGCCCCGAGCCTGGAAATCTCCAATGGGTGGGCAGTGGCGCGGCCGCGCGCGGCCTGAGCCACGCCAGGCCTCGGGCGAGATATCGTCAGGGCCGCGAGCAGTCGATCCACCAGAGCCGTGGAGTGGGAAGAGACGACATGGAGGCCAGGAAAGGGAACTCCTCTTGCAGCATGGTTTGGACAAGGCCGCGCAATCGAGAATCCCGCCAACAGCACACACAGGCCTGGAGCTCATGGAGAAGACACGCCTTATAGGTGGCCGGAGACATGGGTCGTCTTCGTGCCGGAGGATTCTTGCCATCCGCGGGGCACCACGCTGTGGTTCCACTTCGCCATAGGGCGGCGGCCAGCGTCTGGAAAGCGGCTGCCGCGCCCCACGACTCCTATGGCGCAGCCCCGCCCAGCAGGCTCGTTGGAGAGCACAAACAGAGATCAAATTCAGCATCAGGACGAATCCGACGTGGACTTAGTCGCCGCGCTGGCCGGGCGTGTCACGCTATTTATCCTCCTGCCAGTGGTCGGAGGGCCGTGCGGCGTTGCGGGACCAGGTTGGAAGCATGGGCGTTCAGTCCGGGATGGCGCCCTTGCCTTAACCAGGTACTCTGGGAGGGCAAGTCTAAGGCCAGGCTTGGCGGTGACATCCTGGACGAGGGCGGCCGTCATCAGCGAAGCAGACCATAAGTGCCAGAGCATCACGACGGACTTGACGACGCGGTTTGCCAGACGAGTACAAGCGGAACTTCAATGCCCAGGTCGTGCGGCGGATCAAAGGCGGCCAGGAAGTACTCCAAGAGTTCCCTGCGCCGATGGCCTCCAGCGTTTCGGCGATGACTGGCCAGGACTCCACCAGGTCTTCAGCCGGAAGGCCCAAGGGCGCTTCGAAGAAACCGCCAGCATGTCGTCTCTGACTGCAGGGCCCTCTTCCGATTGGCCGGGCCGAAGGCCCGCATTGCTTGCATCGCTAACGCGCGCTTCGCGAGCAAAGCGGGGACCTGAAGAGGAAGGCAACCAAGATGGCCTCAACCTTGACCTTGCCCAAAAGCAGCAAAAACGCCAAGGCGACGAGCGCCTCGAGTCGCCATGGAGACACTAGATCGAGGAGTGAGTCGGAGTGAGTCGGCCGGCGTCTAGAGTCTAGACCGTACGTAGGCTCAAGACCGCCAAGGAACCCTGCGCCCGACATGGGCGACGCCAACGGGGTCCCTTCAACGAAGATGCTCTAGGCGCCGGACTCGAAATAGAACTGCGGGCCAGGTCCAAGCCGACTGCCGCCAAGAAGTCGGTAGCGGAGTCAGCACGAAGCCATGATCAGGCGAGGCGGGGCGAAGGGTCAGGAGAGAAAGTCGAAAAGCGCTCGTGCCGAAATCAAGCTTCGGCAACAAAGTACACGCACACGTTTGTTACACGACAACTCTGACCCGCCAAACCTTCCTGCCTGGAGCGGTCCTGGCGCTCTCGGCCCTTCGTGGAGCGCCTAAGGCTAGCGAATTCACCGCGAATTGGAACTGTCGGGCTGCTTAGGCGCCAACCAGGCACCGAAAAGGCTCGATACTGTTGGTACAACGCGCACTGCCAGCACAACTCTTCCATGCATGTCGGATCTTGACCATCAGGATGAGATGCGAGAACTAGGATGCAGATAGAGTGCACATATCGCCCAAAATGCTTGTGCAGCAGTTAGATTTCGTTCCCTGCAAGCCGTAGCCTACTACAATCACGATCTGGTGCAATCTGCCGGTGTTGATCCACCTGCAAAAAGCTGCACGCTTCTATGCCTTGATACTGGGGTGGCAGCTTTCTTCAAACCGGTTTTCTCGAGGGTGACAGCTGATCGTTGCCTTCTCCTTGCAAGGTACAATGTCAAAAAAACATGCTAGAGCTACTAGAATTACTAGAATCTGAAATCTAACCCGGTCACATCAGAGAGTGTCACGAATCGATGATGCAGTTTCCTCAGTCCTTCTCCTGCAGGTCAGCTACAGGGTCGTCGATATTCAACAAAGCCTCTGACCATTGGAGTCTTGAGATGTCATGTACACCCACACACAAGACATCAGCCGTGCAGACTGTCGCCTGGCCTTCACAACTTCATGCCAAAACGCGAAACGATACTAACAGCTTGACAGTGACTAAGCACATTGGCAGCCGGGTCACGCTCAAGAGCCAACGACAGAAGAACCATCCTTGAACTTCCAGGTGAGCAAAGACGGATGTGTTACTCTCACACACACACACACAAAAAAAAGTTCAAAAGCTGGTGCAGGCAAGTGACTTGATAGGGATCTTGCAAAACTTGTCAGCCAAAACGTCATGAAATAGCATGCGATCATTGCTGCGGGTTTCGAGCCCAAACAGCCAAAACGTCGACAAGAAGCTCACTGTTGGGAACGGAGCACCACTGTCTCAACATGGACTCACCACAGCCTCCCTAAAGCTCAACACTTCTACAAATTGTTTCAGGAGGGTCTTCTGGCCATCGAATACGCTGCTCCGTGCCTGCAGCGACGGCACCGCGGAGGGAACCGGACAGCTCACGAGGCCGACTCGCGTTGCAAGTGCATCCAGCCTAAAGCTTCTCAAGCAACTTGAACACAGCTGTCTCGTTTGGCACAGTGTCAAACGGGATCAACAAGCTTTAGCTCTGTGCTCCACAGGCATGGATGGATCTGCCGTAGCCTCGTCTGAGATTCTTCGCACCATCTGCAACACATTGCTGCCACTTGGAGTCTACTGCAGGTGACACGCCTGCTTGCACAGCTCGTCGCACATGCCCTCAGCCACCTGGAGCGCACTCGATTTGCTGACTGCACGTTGAGAGATCTGCTCTGTATTCTCAGTCTACTCGCTGAGCCTCACGTGACCCCCCGTGCATCCAAACTTGAGAGCCTCAGAACCTCACACTGCCAGGTAGAAGTCGCGAGAAGAGCTGCAGCGTTGCTGCTACACATGCCTCGGTTTCTGACTGAACGGACTCGACGAGTAAATCTTTCTCATTGGAGACACCGCCGCGTACTTTGCACACCACACTGAACAGACTTCCTTGCCGGTCTACGCCGACTACATCCACAGGCGAGCCTCTCTCACTGTCCGCAACGGGCCCTGGCATTCTTTTACCACAGCCTCCGTTGCAAGCCACCTCTGGCTCCCCTTTCCATGAGAAGTTGCATGCGTCATGTGAAGATCCTCCGACAAACGAGATTCAGAAGCTCATGACTTCCTGCCTCGACTGGGTCTTTTCTTCGAAGAATCGGAGCACTCTTGCTCTTGGCTGCACTGTTGGCCACTGTTGGCTCCAAACGAGGGACCAGGGAGGCTCCTGGCCTTGGCAGTGGAGCGGCTGAGCCGTCGCGTCATCGACTTCGAGGCCGTTGTCGCCCTCTGCTGTCCGGTGCCTATTCGAGGCAAAGTTGAAGCAGATCTGACCGAGGCACTGCTCCGTGGGGCCACGATAGGTCCACTTAAGAGAAGGTGGAGTCCAGATGGGTGCTGCTACCGCTTGCGAAGCGGACTGCACCTGGCCACAGATCCTTAACAAGTCCCCTGGCTTGCTTTTAATTGCGCACACGGACCGTTGATGCTTGCACGGGCTTGCTGGGCAGTGGAACTTCAGTTGCACTGTTTTGCCGAAAGCGTTGAGCAGCACAACCAAAGCCCGTCCTGACCCTTCAGCCCCGCAGCCCCAACCGAGCTCTTTAGGCCGCAAAGAAGTCGGGGTCTGTCCCACCAGAGGCAAACGCCCCTGGCCTTGGGCCGTAAGCACGCCTGCACTGCCGGCATCCCCCGAGCATCCATGAACCTAACGAAGACGTGATCGACTCCAGGTTCTGAACATACAAACTGCCTCCGCGACATGAAACATGCATGATTGCATGCGCCGGCCTTATCCCTAACCTACGGCGTCGCAGACCCCAGTGGCCACTTCGGCTAGGCGACCCGCAGAGGAGCCGCGGGATAGCTCGTGCAGCCAAGCATTGAAGGACGAGGCAACACAAAGCAAACAACGCGAGGGAGCCGTAGCGCACGCAAACCTAATCTCAGCCTTCACTGGCAAGGCTCCTCCACGATGAGCAGCTCTGACGGTTCGGACGGTGCCAGTCCAAGAAAGCGCAGGAGACAGTGGACCAGCTCGGGAATGGGTGCCTGCCTGCCGCAAAGACTGCTAGTCCTCGGCAAGGTGTTGTCGCTGGCAGCTCTCAGGCGGGCGTTGCCTCGCTTGGGCGCCTTTTTTCCTGCATCTAGCCACACCTTCCAGTGTGTGTAAAGATGGATTTGTTGGTCTCGATCCGGCGTGCACATTGCCCCATATCTTATGAGGCTGCGTACCCGGCAATTTAGAGTTATATAATTATATAATTATATACAAGAACATGACCTCGCCTCCAGTCGGCCATGAGAACCCGCAATCACCCTTTGCTCAGCACGGCACAACGCCAGCAGGCAAGCCCAGCCAGGGCACGCCTGAGACACGGCTGGCAAGGACCGGCTAGGAGCAGGAGCTGGAGGCACAGAGTCCTGGCAGACAGGGCCCTGGCGGCCAGGGCCAGGGCCCAGCATCAAAACCTGCAGCGCATGTACTTTCAGCCCGGCTTGGGGGCTGTGCACTCGCAGGCACAGCCCGATGTGCAGCCGGCCTTTGCAGCTTCGACCGGCAATCCAGCTGCAGCCTCTGGACCGTCCACATGGCAGACACCGAATGCATCACAGTGCTATCTATCTGCCTCGCGGGGCGCATTCGGACTTTTGGCAGCATGAGGTTGCTCTGGCCTCTCGCAATGGAACTGCAGGCTTCTCAAAACGCACTTCCAACCACTACCAACTGCTAGGTGGCGAGCACGAGAAACTGGGCCAAGAAGTCCCGCTGCATGAGCATCCTCAGCAAGCAGTTGGCTGCCAGAGCCGGTAGGGCTCGTTCCCCCATTTTCTTGTTCTGTGGATGCATCTCGAAACCTCACTTGCAAATATCATCCAGTTTCCCCGGCCATGCAACCTGAAGACATTCTGAAGCATGTTCCAGCAGCCACTCATGGGGACCAAGCAAGAAATGCCTCTCCGAAGAACCCCGTTGCAAACACACCGTCATTCCCTAACTGCAACGCTGGTTGTCATCGTGAAGCCTGTCGGCCGTCTCGAAAATCCCAGAAGAGCGCAAACTACGGGGTGCTGACTGCGCATTGAAGCCACCCTTGAAGTCGCACGGCAATCCGTCGGGCCTGAGAGTGACACATTGCCATCCTAGATTGATTGGGCCATTGCCGGGCTGCGAACCCACCATGGTCTGCTTCAACCTGGCACTTGCTTGATCGGGCGGACGGTTGAACATTCTTGCAACGATGGAAGAAACCGCCCCGCGAGATTCTTGGTTGGTCGTTGACTCAACGATTGACTCCTGGATTCGAGATCGTACTTTGCTTGCATTAGAGTGAGCGTGAGCGTGAGGAGGGGAGGGGCGAGGGTGAGGGAGGGTGAGCGTGAGCGTGAGAGTGAGAGTGGGAGTGAGAGTCAGAGTGAGAATGGGAGTGAGTGAGAGTGAGCGTGGGGGAAGAGTTGGAGCCCACGGCATCCTTGTCCATGCTCCAAGGTCACCACACAGCGAAAGCTTTGCCGTGAAAGCTACAGCTGATTAACTGTCGTTCACTTAGCAATGTATGTCACGAGTACATCTACGAATGTACTATCGAAATGGCAACGATCAACGTCTATATGGTTCTCACTGGCCTCCACCTGCTTCTGCAACCGCGGCGACCGAGAACCACTTCGGCCGTAGCCGGCCCGCTGTGCCTCGGAACCAGATCTCAGGCGTCGCTGGCAAATGTAAGAACTACCTGTGACTACCCAGCATTTCAGCTCGCTGCAACGGCAAAAGCCATTGATGCAGAGGAGGGACAAGAGCAAATTGGCTGTGGCTTCGGTAGTTTCTCTGTGTCTTCTGATGGATTGCGAACGACTTGCAAGTCGACCTGCATGGCTGCATACGACTGATTTTTCGGCGGTTAGTCCAATACATCCTTCCGTTGAGCATGAAGGATGACCCTTCGGACAGGGTTGGGACATCGTCCAACTCAGTTCTCAGCTCACGATAACTTTAGCAGTCGCAGGGCAAGGAAAAAGGCTCAACCGTCATTTGCATGTCGTGGGAACTTGTCACTTGACATGCGATGCTGCGGTCTAGAAGATTTGATGCAGTCGCTGCTAACCTTAAGCCAGCTCCTTCGGTTCTTCTTATCTTGCAGGCTTGCGCTGCTTGGCAGCACACCAGAACCTGTGAAACACATTGTTACTTCGCCTAACACAATAAAGGGAAAGAACATCCTATGTACATGTCTGCAGCTATTTCGCGCAGGCAGTCGCCAGCTTTCTGCGAAAAGAGCAAGCCGCTGGACATACCACGTTTACATCAAAGGATCCTGGCAGCAAGTGCATAGTGCTGTCAATTCCCTCCGGCTGATCCAACCATAATAACCGACACAGCTTGTGCACGACGAGTACTGGGCCTCATCGTCATCCCGTCCCCGAACGAGGTGGTCAGGTGGACGACCCATGCAGCGCCTGAGCGAACAACATCCATCGGCAGCAGCGATTACAGATCCAGAGATGTCTTGCACGGTGACTTTCAGAGTGCATCGATGCTGCTCGTCGCGTAAGGTCTGGGCAGGTGTATGGATCCTGGTGTGTACTTTCGCGTCAAGTGGGCCTGTGTTTCAAAAGCTGTGCAGCCAAACATCGATTCTGGAGCTGTGACGGTGAATCCGGAGGTTACAAGAAATATCAGCTGATCCTCCTAATTATTGGCTGACGGCTGTTCGTTTGCTACAAAACATGTCTGATTTAACTTCAAGCTCAGCAGTCAAGTTCCTGGCGCTCTTTGGCATCTGCCTCAGCAAGGCGAAAAGTGCATGTTCATGGCTAGATGTTGACATGGCGCCAACTTCCCGCACATCATGCCCAGCAGCCAATGCTCGTCCCACTGCTCTTGCTGCCCTGTCTGTGGATTTCGCATCCTGGCTGCAATTTCCATTTTAACCATCGGACTCAAAAGAGGAAAGCCTTCGCGCTCTTCTTTTCCTTGACTTCGGCTCCGGCTCTGTGACAGCCCTGAAGGTCGTTGGATTCGAGCGGGCTGTAACTGTACATGTAGTCAAACAGTTTCGGAGCCCTTCTCCCCTTCGGACACATCCAAAGTAGCACTCCAACGTACCAGGGCGTCAGGCACGAGCAGAAGATCAAGTAGCTGAAGCTGTGCCCACGGCACGCAAGGAAATTCAGCCATCCACCAGTTTTGAGAAACTGTCCAAGGATCTTGAAGCCCGGCCCTGGACAACCCGTCTGACGGGTTGTCGTCGGACGGAATCCATTCGATCCAGACTCGGCAGCCCATTTTCGCCCAGAGCAGGTGACAGGCTGAAATGATTCTCGCGCAGTCTGCTGAGGAGCACGCTCCCTTGGCCACGCCGGCACACACAGCTTGGTTGTCCACAAACAGCAGAATATCCCGGCCTGTGAAGCGGCTGCTAAAGACAACGAAGCATTGAAGAATGGCCAGAGCTTCCAAAGGCATGATCTGGGTCTTTCGGTCTTGCAGACATTGCAAGACCTCGGCGGGGACCTTCGTCGCTCCCGAATGGCACTGCTTCAAGTCGGGATGGTTCAACACAAA